TATTTTCGTTGCTACTCTATAACTGTAATTTTGCTACTGTTATGAATCGTAATGTAAATATCTTTTTGTTTTCCGATGGTCTTAGGCGACCCGTGAAAGGGTTGTTTGACCCCCAAAGAGGTCACGACCCACAGGTTGAGAACCGCTGCCCTAGAGCATCACATCAGAAATCAGTCTCACTGTGACTATATTTCCATTATTAGTATAAAGTGCCCAACTACTTATTTTTCAAAAATGTCAAAATTGGGCCTTTCGCCAGACGATACAGCATCTGACAACTTTGATCTTTGGGAAAATGAAGACTGGCTCGTACATAGCTGCACCCTGGGAAGCTGCTGAGCACCAAGCACGCCAAGGGGCAGCGAGGCCAGCCGGCCATCTATTTCATCAGTAACCCAATGTGCTTATGTCGCTAACAGGCCACTGAGGAATAATAAGAACTCGTATTTCAACAGCAGTTCATGTTGTCCTCTCTGAGCTTGCCTGTTGATGGCTGTACATGAGGACGCTCCAAGGCTGGAAAACTCCGCTGAGGGTGGGGAGCCGTTCTCAGCTGACAGCAGCAGATGACATGGCGGCCACATCCCAATACTCATTCACAGCTGAGACCTGACTACCTTTAGCTCCTCATACAAGGGACACAGCCCATCCCTTCCTGCTCTGCTCTCGAGCTTCCTGGGAAACCAGAAACCAGTCATTGCAGACGGGATTCTCCGTCAAATAAACGCCCTCCGTGGCCCCTCGAGCAGGGGCAACACGACTGCTCGGCAAGTGTGGAGTCCTCCACGTGTCCCCAGCCACCCTGTGCAAAGACGGTCACTGCCGCTCCCGGAGGGGCCACCCCGACAGTAACACAACACCCAGCTGCACAGCAAGTGAGTAAGCGACACCCGTCTACCACGTTCACAGGCATGGTCTGCTTATAGCCAACGGCTCTCGTGGAAGCTCTTCCCTGGCCTGTGTCCTTGAACACTAAACTCTAGCGATCAGAAGGGCAGATACAAACCCCAGTCACAGGTTCAGTTAGAGCAAGGGCGCCTCACCGAGACTTTTGAGGAAGCCACAGAGTCTTCTGGACGCATCAGTCACACTGAGGCTGAATTTAGCAGCAAAATAAGGCAGAGACTGAGGACACACTGACACGGCCAGCACCTTGTGCAGTGAGGAGTCACATTTCTAGGAGAAACAGAGAAGAATGTCATACATGTGGGGTCACACAGAGAATGGGAAAGAGACACTGTAATAAATAATCCAGAACAAACAGAACATAACAGAAGTTCTATGAAAAGATCAGTAAACAGAGAAACACTGGCAAGTGTATAATAACTAACAAAAAAGGAAGAAAAAGTTAGGGTTAAACAGCGGACATCCCAAGAGATTCTGTCAATATTTATAACAATTATCATATTGAAATATCTGGAAGAAAATGATAATTTTAAAGGAAAAATATAAATTACAATATTGGCCCATAAATAACTGAAATGACTCAATGACAGTAAAAAAACATAAACACTGAAACAGTGTCCAGAGATCTGTCCCCTAAGAGGCCTTAAGCCCAGGTCGTTTAGTTGCAAATTTTAACTATTTTAAGGAGCCTGACCCAGTGCTCCCTGCCCCTCTGCTGGACATCCTGCCTGGGGTATTATTTCCAGGGCTCACTCACTTCATTCTCACGCACACGTCACCTCCTCTGAGGAGGGAGCCAGTTTATGACTAGGAGGGGATCAGCTGCGCCCAGAACCAGGCTGAGCAGAGAAACCGAACTGCTTCGCCCAACAGCCCTGAGAGGCTGACTCAGCCAGCCCCAGAACCTCCCCTACCCCTATGCTTTCAGTTTCATGAAATAACCATTTCCTTGTCACGCACACCAGTTTGAGTTGGGCACCTATTATCCGTGGTTGAAATGCTGACTTATATGGGTATCTACCAAAAGTTTCTGCAAATGTCTATTTCCTCATCGTTTTACAAGCATTTGCACTGGAGTCTGAAACAAGGGGTTAGTGCCCTTTATTACCACAGTTACTTGAGATTGATTCCAAGGTCCTAGACAACGTTGTCTGAAAAAGAGGTATAAGAGATATATGGGTTGGAAGACAAAGTTTATTATTTGTAGTCAACAAACCCACAAAACCTAAGATAATCCAGGAAGCTATTAGAATATTAAGTTTACAAAACAGCCATGAAGATCAATAGCTTTATGACACACCAACAATAACTGACAGTATAGACGGTAACAGAATAAAATGCAACATGTAACAAAACAACAATAAAACTTCAATCACGTCAGGAACAAATTACAGATACAGAGCACTGAGGAATAACCCGATACAAACTTTTATGGGGAAAATTGTAGTCCTTTGCTGAAGGTCACACAGAGGGCACAGTCATGGATAAAAAGGCTACACAGTGAAAAACAATTTCCCCAAATTAATCTATAAATTTAAAGCAACTCCAGTTAAAGTCCTACAATTAATGTAGGATAATGTAAGATTTGACAAGAAAATCTGACCAACAGAAAGATGGGCCCAGATATCAGGACGCATTAAAATAAAACACCATCAACTATACGTATGTTTCACAGTAAGAAAGGATTTCTTCTAAACTGCAAATTAAACCCAGCAGAGAGAAGACTGATGTACACAGTTCCATGGGATGCAACAGCTCAGGTGTGGAGGAGGCATCACACACTAAAAGACAAGCGCCAGCCTAGAAGGAAGGGTCTGAGACTTGTGGAAGGGGGGTCCCAGGCAGCAGGCTGAAGACACCGAGCAGGACGGCAGGCACCCAGGTCCCTGGGCTTCCTGGGGCCAGCTCACCTCTGGGTGTCTCCACCGGGGAGCACAACCCTCCAAGTTGTCACGTGCCTAGAGGCAGGGCTTTGTTTCTCGCAGCTGAATGCAATTTCGAGCTAACACAGAACATGACAGGCAGCATAAAACGTAAATGGTCAGTAAACCCTCAGGCTCACTGATCAGCAAGAATGTGCAAGGGAGATCTTTTCTACCATCAGAGCAGGAAGCATGTGAGTGTGGTATCGCTGTGACCAGGGGAGCTGGGCACCGGTGTTCTCACCTATCACTGTAGGAACATACGGGGAAGCCACTGCCAAGGGCATTCTGGCCGACCCTGAGGGCCCCGCGGAGTCAGAAGTCTGCGGTGGTCCCACAGAGGGTACGGGGCCTCAGCTGTATTAACTGTTTCTTGGCATAAAGCAGCTGAAACCATTGGTTCCCGAGGAACGAGGGTGAGCACGGTGAACGCGGCCAGCAGCGTGAGGGTCTCCGGGCTCAGATCCCGTCCTGCTGCCTGCTCATGGACCTGCACACCAGGAGCGGCACACCCAGGCCCAATGAGTGCTGACAACGGAAGCACACGTATTTTTATCTGAGCGTGGGACATGTCAGGAACATGCCACAGGGATGGGTGGCAAACACTGAGAAGACCGCTTGACTGCGCCGAGCTCTGGCACACCCAGCACCACCTGGACAGCAACAAGGGCTCCACATGACACCTGTGCTGCCATGTGGGCAGGGCTCCCGGCACCTTGCACAGTGGGCAGGGGCACTTCCTGTGAGCAGTGGTGGGAGCAGGGCAAACCCAGGAGGCATGCTTTCAGCTCATCTGCCTTCGTCTTTCCTTCCTTTCCCTCTCACCTGTCTCCCCATCAGGAGGGCCGTTACCGGGAGCCAAGTGACCCTGGGGTTCTGTATAGGTCTGCAGGGTCTCGCCCCAGCCTGGGGAGCCCATCAGGACAGAGCCCCGCCTCTGAGAATGCCCGTGAGGCAGCATGCATCAGCTCAGCCACTGCTGTTTCGAAGTGGTGCACAGCCGAGGCCTCCCGCAAGCCAGGGAGCCTGGTCAGTGGTGCCAGCCACAGCCCTTGCCCAAGTCAGTAGGGAACGTGACTCTGGGTCATTTGATTTTGTTCTGATGGGGAAGGGCTCTGGAGAGGGTTGACTATGGCAGAGGACACAGGACCGGGGCCAACCTGTGCACACCATGTCCCAGCAGAGGCTTCCGTGCTCCCCCAGATCTCCACCCGCCTTCTCCAGGCAGCGGCGCCGATGAGTGCCCAGATACCATACCTTATTAAGGTTCAGTACACGGAAGAAGTCCTTGGTGTTCTGCTGGGAAACCTGGACTCCTTCCTCTTCTGTCATGCAGCTGTCACACGCCAGGCAGTCACTCAAAAATATCTTGGCATCAGCCAACTTGTGGAATTCCCCCTTCTGCAAAAGGAAGATGCTGTTTGGGCCTGATTCGTCAACAAGGGCTCTGCACCACATGCTTCTTTAGGGAGAGCAGCCGCGTGAGCACTGACACCTGGACACCACCCGGGCCGGGCCCAGCCCTCCAGGTGCTTAAAGGACACAGGGCACGGATGCAGCCCACGATGACACCAGGAATCTCACAGATGGCAATCCAGGGTGGGAGCAGGCTAGCGCTGTCACCAGGCGGGAGGAAACCTGCACTCCTGTGTGCTGGGAGCTGGCCCCTCCTGCTCCCCACTGCCTTCTCCGTCTCTCGGGGGCTCCTGCTCTGGGCTGGCCCCACACTGCCTGCTAAGCTCCTCCAGCCCCACTGTGCCCATGGAAGTTCACCGCGGGCCCTCCGTGTGCAACAGAGCCCTTTGCCATCGAGAACTGAACTGTGGATACTCAGTAAAAGCAAGTCTGCTCTGCTGGAAGCCTGGACTACAAACCTGAACACCCACCCGTGGCCCCTCATCTCTCCTGACAGGCACTCACTCAGCAGCCTGAGGTCCGCTAGAACGCGCGATGTCTAAGACACGAGCCATCCCCCCTCTGCTCAGAGGGCCTCTCAACACAGCTCGTGACCTTTGTCCCCGTCACTCCCCACGGCTTTCATTTCCAGCCATGCTGGACCTGGCTGCTCAGGGTCTCCACCTGCGGGAAATGCTTCGAGAGCCCAGCTCACCCTTCAGGCCTCAGACACTTGCTGGAACAGCCCTGATCACCTGGCGTTCACGTGTTGTCTCTCGTCCATGAAACGCAAGCTTTGAGGGTAGGAACTCGACATGTTCCCTTCAGTTCCCCAACACTACCAAGAAGGCGCTCAATAAATATTTGGTGGATCAACACACGAACATTCTAAAGCCTACCGGAGCCATTTCAACAAATTACTGAGAGCTCCTGACAGCCGTGCATTTATTTTTCCTTCAAACCTGACTTGGTAACAGATGTTCTGGGTGGGCCTCCCACGTGCCTGAGTGTCACTGTGCAGCTCATCCTGGGACCTCATTACATTGCGGACGCACACTCACGAGATCTGAATGGGGCCCCAGAGTTTGCACTTCTAAGGCGGTGGTGGCACCAGATGCGTGCGGCTGGGGGGTCCAGAGCTGCCATTCCAAGAGTGGAGCACGTGGCCTGGCACACAGCTGGTGCCTAACAGGTACTGTTGAGCGGACCTAAGAATCCTGCCTCCACTGCCCCACAGAGGTGCCCACACCCCCGCACTGTCGTGCCAGCAGCACCTCCCCTGGCATGCTTCTTTCAATGCTCCCCATACTCCAACCAGCTGAAGCTGCCCTCTGTTACCTGCCCCAAAACACATCTGATCTGTCCCCTTGTCCAGACAACCTCAATGGTTCCCACCAGCCCTCCCCCAGACCACTCTGTGCCTGGTGGGCTCATGCCCCACCCTCAATCCTCACCACCCCAGGGCCCACTCCCGTAGCCTCTTCCCTGGCCTGCCTGTCCTGACAGGGTGTCCACCCACTGAGCTGGCGGGGCGTCCACTTACGCTGTGTATACATGTTATCTCGCTGTCACCACAACCCTGGGGGGTGGGGAGAAGTAACCTAAGTTTCCATGTTACTGATAAGGAAACTGGGGCTCCCAGGGTAAGATGTCTGTCTGAGGTGATGCAGCGAGCGGGCAGGTGGGGAGGCCCCAGCCCACGGCTCCGGGGCACAGGCCCCAGGCACTCCATGGCCTCTTCAGCCTTAGCACCTTGGCGTCTCTCTCAGCCCCTGCCACTCACTAGACCCTCTATTCACCAGAGCGCAGAGCAGTGGGGGAAGACGTGACCTCAGCCCCCACCACGTTCTTCTCTCTGTAAACGGGGACAACAGTAGGGCTTACTTGAACTGATGGTTCTGGGCTGAAATAAGATCGCATAGAGAAAGCACTTTCTCTGGTGCCCAGCTCAGGGTATGTGCCCCAAAAGCCATCACTACCAGGTAAGGAGGATTTAAGAACTCCAGAACTGAGTTAGGGAAGAGACCATCAGAAAAATACACTTACAGGATCATGAGATCTGAATCACTGCGTTCATTACCACCTAACCCCCCATTTTACAAAATGGAACTTTTCATTAAAAAAACAGAATTGGAGGTTTAAACATTACACCACCACTTTCAATGAATGGCATTTTCTTAGTTCCTAATGTAGTTTGTTCTGGTGTATTCTGCAGCTCTTCAGCACTCTCACCTTCAACGTCAGGTGCCTGTCTGCCCCTGGGCAGGGGCTTGGGTCTAGCACCGCATTCCTCACTTCTTTCTTTCTTAGAGCAATGACGTGTGCAGTGACATGAGCCCCCACAGAGAAGAAACCCAGAAGCCACTGTGTACTCCAGGCTGACGCTGAACTGGAAAATCTACTTACCTCTCCATTCTCCTGGGCTGGACTCGGTACATCGACTGATGCATTCTCTTGGTCATCGGTTTTTGTTTTTTTACTACATTCCTTGAAAAGGCAAAGGAACAAATGAAAGAACTTTTACTGCGACTCTCAATTAAAAAAAAAAGTGCATGCTCTCTGATCAATTAACCTCATGTCTAGAAATCTTTCTTAAAGAAATAAAAGCAGGGCCAGCCGAGTGGCGCGATGGTTAAGAGCTGGCTTGGGATGCCAAAGGGCCCCGGTTCGGATCCCACATGAGGGCCAGTGACGCTGCACCCTCTACAGCTAAGATGCTGAACAACAGCTCAACCTGGAGCTGGGCTGCCATGAGTCGCCGGCAACTGTGTAGCCTGCAGCCCCTGTGGCAGTGGGTTGCCATGGACTACCGTATGTAGCCAGCAGCCAGCGTGAGCCGCCAGCAGCCGCAGTGAGCGGCCGTCCAGAAGCCGGTGACTGATTTGCCTCGCCCAGGAAGAGCGCAATGATGGTGCCAACTTGGGCCAGTGAAGCAACGTCCTCCACAATTAGACTGAAGAACAAAAGTACAGCTACTTGTCTGTTCCCCTTTCCCCAATTCCCCAGTGCTGGTCCCATCCCCCAATTCCCCAATAAAAATCTTAAAAAAAAAAAAAAAAGAAATAAAAGCAGCCATCCTTGTGGACACACACACACACACACACACACACACACACACCTGTATCGTTCACGTTAACCGAAAAGTGGCAGCAACGCGCCTTCTGTCAACAGGTAAACTAGTGCCTGACTACCTGGATACGTGTCTACTTAGAATACAGTGACCTAGAACATGAAATGCTCTCAAGAGGCATCTCCTGTACAATGTTAGGTAAAAGCAGCGCAACTAATGGAACAGTCGTTAGGATGTGACCCAATTTTTGGAAAAACAAACAAAAAAATCCCTCAGCTGCACCGCACAGTTTCAGGAGCAAAGTTTATCACGGTTACCAGGTGGCCAGGCCCAGCCCACGTTTCCTTCCTACACTCCTGTGCGGCTTCGTTACTATAAGCACTTAAGTTGTAGGAACTATGAAAATCCCTCAAAAACACTACCAACTGTTCACATGGTGCTTGCTATGGCTGCCCTGAGGGGTGACAGGTTGGTTTGCTTTTCTGGGGTATTTTGAAGGGCTTTTTAAGCGCACCGAGAACTGGACAGACAGCAGCGCCCAGATGTAACGCCAACCGGAGGGCGCCCGCAAAGGTAACCCGACACGCACGCAGCAAACACCGGCAGGGCGCGGGTCAGTGCTCACGCCACCGGCCGAGCCGGGCTACGAGCCACCCACAGCCCTCGTCCACCCAACCGCAACCCGCACGGACTGCTGGACAGTGACCGGCCGAGTCTGGCCCCGAGGGAGGTCGGCGAGGTGACGCGGAGGCCCGGGCCTTCGCAGCTGCCAGTCCGGGACCGCGGGCGAGGGGCCGCCGGCGCGTCCCGCCCACGCTCGCCGAGCCGCCCGCTCTGGGGACTGGGGCTCCCGGGGCCCGTCAGCGAGCAGCCCCGAGGCCCTGACCCCTCAGCCTCCAGCCCCCCAACCCCGGGGAGAGCGACCCCTGACCCCCACTCCCGGCCGGACCGACCCTCGGGCCCCAGCCCGGAGCGCGCGGGGCCCACCTTCCGCGTGCAGTGCTCACACTTCATCTGGAGCGGGGTAGGCGGGGACCCGGGCGCGCGACCTGAGGGGAGCACCGGCAGACTCTGTCCCCGCCGCCGGCCGCCCGCCGCCCTTTGTTGTCTTCGCCCCCGCGCGGCCCCCACCCAGGCGCTCCGCTCGGCCAATAAGAGAGCCGGAAAGGGGCGGACCCGGGCCCAGAGCCAATCGGAGCGTGTGGGGGCGGAGCGCGGCCCGCCCCATGCGGACGCCCCGAAGGCCCGGGCAGGTTCTCGCGCGGGGGCGCGGAGCGAGCGAGAGTTGGAGGCTGTGAGACGTGTTTGTACCGCGGCCCGCGGGGACGGCAGCTCGGTGTCGGACACGCACCTCTCTTCTGTCGCGAGCCCGGTGGAGACGGCGCCGCCCTAGCGCGGAGGGGAGAAGGCGCGGCCCCGGCCTGCCGCCATTGCCGCCCCGAGGCGCATCACGTAGGCCGGGCGAGGTGGCAACGCGCACGCGCGGCGGGACCTGGGAGCACGTGGTCCGCTGGAGCACGAGGGCGGTGTCAAGCGGACGCGGCTGAGCACTGGTGTCTGCTGTGCATCTTAGCAGGCTTATGGGTGACTCGGCTCTTACACTTTACAAAGAATATTGTTTCTCCAAGAACCGATACCGCTGTGCAGAGCTAAATGGAAATGTCGAACTCTTAATAGTACACATTTTATAAAACCAGTGCAGGGCCGGCCAAGTAGCACATTGGCTAAGAGCTGGCTTGGGACGCCAGAGGGCCCGGGTTCAGATCCCACATATGAGGGCCAGTGACACTGCCGTCTACAGCTAAGATGCTGAACAACAGCTTAACCTGGGGCTGGGCTGCCGTGAGTCACTGCAATGGCGTAGGCTGCAGCCCCTGTGGCAGTGGGTTGCCATGGGCTACCGTGTGTAGCCGGCAGCCAGTGTGAGCAGCCAGGAGCCACTGTGAGTGGCCGGCCAGAAGCCAGCGACTGATCTGCCTCGACCAGGAAGAGAGCAATGATGGTTCCAACTTGGGCCAGTGAAGCAACGTCCTCCACAACTAGAATGAAGAACAAAACGACAGCAACTTGTCTGTTCCCCTTCCCCCAATTCCTCAGCACTGTTCTCATCCCCTAATTTCCCAATTAAAAAAAATAAATAAATAAACCAGTGCATACTCACTCACACAGAACAATCAGAAATGGGAACATGCCTGAAAGAGTTCAGTGAAGAGTAAGAAAAGCAACTTGTGTCTTTATCAAACACCAGGCGTTGTCAGGGATCCCAGAACTTCGCAGTTACAGAGATCAACAAAATATTAAAGGCTATTCCAGGTCCCAGAAACCTAACTAGGATCCCTAAAATTTTCCCCATTTTTTTTTTGTTGCTGTTCATAGAATTTTTTGGTTAATACAGCTTTTTACAAATGCATCAGTTGGATTCAGGTCTTAACTGGCTGCCAGATTAACGTTCTGCATGGTTCAAATCCATGTCAGCACTTCTCAGAAAATACCTTCAATTTTCAACATGAATAAGAGGATAATTTTAGGTTGTCATTGTATATGTTTTTGTTAATGTTTTTAAAACAATACTATTATTGTGTGAAAAAAGCAAATTACATTTGCTCAATTTCATAAAAAATTGTTGTGTCCAGGTTTCCCCAATCATCTAATTTTTTAAAAATTTAAATTGGATCTAAATAAGGTCCAATATGTTCTAACAGTGTATATTACAATTGGTTTTTGTATTTAAGTCTCTCTCTCTTTTTTTTAAAGACTTTATTGGGGAATTGGGGGAGGAGAACAGCATTGGGGAATCGGGGAAAGGGGAACAGACAAGTTGCTGTCGTTTTGTTCTTCAGTCTAGTTGTGGAGGACATTGCCTCACTGGCCCATGGCCACACACGGTATCCCATGGCAACCCACTGCCACAGGGGCCTCAGCCTACGCTGTCACCGGCCACCCACGGCAGCCCAGCTCCAGGTCGAGCCGCCGTTCAGCATCTTAGCTGTAGAGGGCAGTGTCACCGGCACTCACACGTGGGATCCAAACCAGGGCACTCCGGCGTCCCAAGCCAGTTCCCAACCATCGCGCCACTTGGCCGGCCCTCTCTCCACTTTTTGATACATTTCCTTGTTCATTTTTTGCCTCAGATCTGAAATCAGTCTTTTTCCAACAGCCAAGAAGAAAAGGTCTTGCTCCTGCAGTGGCTATCCAGTAGCCTCTATTGACAAAGCTTACCATCACACCAGAGAGCACAGAAGAAAATCAATGGCTCAGATCCGTTTCCACAGAGCAGGCAATGAAGTTTGAAATTTAGACTTGAAATATAATGCATTGATAATTGGCACAGCATACAGTTTTTATTCACTCAGTCCCCCATTTATGGATATTGTATTTACTTCCAGTATTTTGCTATTACCAATATTCAGCAGGATTTTAACCAAATCCGGTATCATTTGTTCACTCATTTAATATTTGCAGAATGCCAGTGCAGGCTTCATCTTTAAATGGTTTATAATCTAGTAGCAAAGGTGAAATTATACAAATAACTGTAATGCAAAGTAGAATTTTCTGGGTATCAACTTAGTTCTACCTAAATTCAGAGAAGATCACTTCCAGCTGCAGACTTCCAGCAGGAAAGACTTAAAGGAGGTGCTAACAATTCAAACGGACCTTCGAGATGGTGTAGAATCTTAACAGAGGGAGGGCCGTTTCAAGGAGACAATGTGAGTTGAGAGAACCTACCTTGTTCAGGCAGAGCCCAGTTTTGCTGCAGCTTAGAGCAGAGGTTCACAAGGCGTGGTTCCTGGACCAGATGTATCAGCAACATCTAAATTTTCAGGCCCCACCTACTTCTGGGAACAGGGTCCAGGAGTCTGTGTTTCAACAAGCCCACCAGGCAACTCTGATACATGCTTCGGTCTGGGAACCACGGGCAGAGAGTTTCTATCTGAAGTCAACTGGTAAAGGAGAAAAGTTGTCTCCAAATTTTTTGTCATGTGCCTATATTGGTAAAACTTCTAGGGTTATACATACTGATGCATGCGTACTTTTCGTAAGGCAATATACACTGTTGTATTAAACCATGTAAATTATAAAACATAAAAATAGACATTAAAAGAAAAATAAATAGGAATGCAAGCTCTAGTATGTTCTTCCAGTATCTCACAGATCTTGCTCATCCCACTTTGGAGAGCACTGAAGTAGGCAATGGCTGTGCAGTGGAGGCTTTCCTGTTCAGGTAGGGTCTGTTTCCTTCATCTGATCAGAAATAGAAAGGCAAGTTTTTACAATTTTTACCATAAATTTGCATACATCTGTTGTTAAGTGAACTTTAGGTACTTCATATTTTCCTAGCCATTTTAAACGGCGTTTTTGAGGTATAAATGACAGGCCGTTCTAAGAGTTCAGTTACCCCAGACGTTCTCAGGTCAGGGACGGGGCCTCCACACCCTGTGGCCATCACTGCACAAATGACCTGCTCTCCGATTGCATTTGCTGACTCTGCTTGCTCTACAACCACGCCAGGGCTGTTCAGGGAGCTTTTCTTTCTTTCTTTTTTTTTAAAGATTTCTAGTGGGGAATCGCGGAGGGCAAAAGAGTGTTGGGGAATTGGGGAGGAGGACCAGCCAAGTTGTTGCTGATACATCTGGCTTCCCATCAGCAGCTCGTGGCCTCTAAGCTCAAGGTGCTGTGTTCAATCTTAGTTGCGGGTGGGCGTAGCCACCATCCCATGTGGGAGTTGAACCAGCAGCCTTAGTTGTTAAGAGCACACTATCCACTGAGCCATCCGGGCCTCAGCTCAGTCTTAGTTGCGTTCAGGCATAGCCCACCATCGAATAGGGAATCTTGTTGTTACACCAGCTGAGCCATCCTGCCACCTGTTGGCAGCTCAGTGACAGCTCAGCCCGGGCGCAGCATCGCTGGCCAATGTAGGAATTGAACCGGCGGCCCTGTTGCTCAGAGCTTCCACGCTTAAGCTCTTAATCAACTGAGCTACTCTGCCGGCCCCCAGGGATCTTTTCTTACCTCCCACGTTAGGGCGGTTAAATGGAAGGTTTGGAAGTCAGGGTAGCCCCCATCCCAAAGTCAGCGCTGTCACACCTTTCCTACATTCACCCCGCTCGAGTCCAACCTTTTGGAGGATTTGCCGCCCTCCCGAGTTCAGCCTCAGCTCCATAGCCACCTCCTAATTCCAGAAGTCTGCGGCCCCACCCCCAAATCGGAAGTCGGCGTCGCCCCGCCCTGCGGGCCGGAAGTCGGCGTCGCCCCGCCCCACGCTGCGGGTGCGGAAGTCAGCCGGGCGCCCCCATCCGTGGGAGTCAGTGGTTCCAGGACTCCACGCGGCGTCCGTGCGTCTGCGTTTTCGGTAGGCGCCTGGCGGAGGTCGCCGTCCGGGCGGGTAGCGGGGTTTGCAGGCCCCGCTCTCGGGAGTGCGGGCTCGGGACGCATCCGGGTCGGCCGGGGGGCTGCAGGGGTTAGGTGGCAGGCAGGCGGCCCTCGCTCAGCTCGGTGACCTCGCTGCGCGGGCAGCTCAGACGCGCGTGGAGACAGAGATGAGTGACGTCAGGGAGGGAGCCCAGTGATGTGCCAAGATGCAGGATTCGTGTGTGAACTGAATCCGCTACTGTGAGGAATTCGATTTGACTTTGCAGAGAGTATCTGGGCAGCGACCCGGAGCTGGGGTCCCTGCGGCCAGCGTGTTGAGTGTATTGGGTCCGCAGGGGGAGTTTTCCGTGAGTGCAGAGTCAGCCCCCCTGGGGGACTCAGTGCTGCAGCCCATGCTTTTAGACCTGCGGACCTGGCTGTGCAGGCTCGTGTCTCAGCGGCTGGAGGAGACCCTAGAGCAGGCTTTTTCTGTCCATGACAGAACAGGCTCAAAACACGAGGAGACTTGCAGTTCCCTTTTTTGTTGGAGGCCAGCACAGGGAAATGAGGGAATTCTGGTAGGTTCTGGTAGGGTGCCGGCAGCTCGAAGGCTGCTGCTGGTTAACGGTTTCTGAGAGGGTGGTTTCCAGCCTCAGGTAATGGGGTTAGGTAATGATCAAGCACTTGATGACGGCTTACAAGTCTGAGCGGGAAGTAGCCCAGTGCAGTCTGTATAACTGAGCAGAGAAGGGCCTAACTTACAGAGGAACCAGTCTCTGGGGGATTAAGTGGCATGCCTGGCCACAGAGACTGCGGTCAGCACAGGCTGACTGGTTACCCAGCCTGTGCTGGTTTTGCTGGTGAGCCAGCCCCAGCGCCCTGCCCTGGTGAGCCGGGTGCTTGTCTGTGGGCAGTGGCTGCAGGGCTCCAGCTGTTTGTGTCTGCCCTCCCCAGCCCCTGGTCTCCTGTTGAGAGTGGTGCCTGCACTTTCCAGGGATGTACATGCAGGTGGAGACGCGCACGAGCTCCTGCCTCCATCTGAAGAGGGCTCCGGGCATCAGGTCCTGGTCCCTGCTGGTTGGTGAGGATTTCCGTATTTCCCCCAAAATAAAAAACCTTCCTTTAAAAAAGGATTAAAATGAAACAATTTTTCTTTTCTTGTTATGCTATCCCAAAATATAGCAGCTATTTTATTTCTTTGTATCATTCCAGATTTGATCCTATATGCATGCTGTTACAGATGATGTATGTCTTTTCACCACTTAACATCCTTCAGTTAATGCTGTAGACTCTTCTGAGGTCCCCATATTTCCCCTTTTACTTTCTTTCATACACCTGGTCGCCGATGTCTGAGATTATGTCACAGGCCCACGTGATGGGCGACAGTGCGTCCGTTTTTCCTCTTCTTCAGTGAGGAGTAAGTGGGGGAGGCTGCCCTGGCCTCCATCCCGGTCAGCCCGAGGGAGGGTCCTGCACCCGCCAGGCTGCTGCACCGTGTGGACTGGATTGGAGGTGTGAGGAGAGGAGCCGCTGTGCCTTCAGCAGCCTGTCTCTGGTCCTTCTTTCCTGCAACCCTGCACGTGGCCGCCTGCCTGTTTCTCGTGTGCCGTGTTGTGATTCTTTATGTACTGTCTTCATCCCACACCACGTGGGTAAAAACCTACCTCGGGCTCCTCGGTCTGGCTCCCCAGTCAGCTCCTGAGGCTTGCATGGACGGACATGTCCAGTGAAGACTGTGAACGGCATATACCACGTTTCTGAATGAAGTTCTTGGCTGTTCCCCCACTTCTGAGTCTGGTGGCCTTCTCTGCCCCTGCTCCCTGCCCACAGCCATCGTTGACAATGGGGAGGAGGTGGGCTCTGCGCTGGTGGTGGCCCCATAGGAAGGCGCCCGCTTTCTCTTCACAGGAATCTTGTCGATTGGCCTGGCTGCTGCCTACTACAGTGCAGGTGAGATGCACCGTCTGCCCCCCAGTAACTTCCTCAGCTCTTCAGAAAACAGAAAAGAGGCAAGCCCATCACTTGTGATCCACCAAGGCATGGCCTCTGGGAAGGCGGCATCTCCGCCTCCTGGCGGCCCATGGGCGCTGCACCACCTTCGTGTGCCGCTGTGGTCTGTCTGTTACACACATCCCTCGTCGTCTTTCACTTCTTACATCTCAGGTGTTTTCCTGTGTCAAAAATTATCTTTCGGAAAGGCATGCTCTTGAATCTGCTTAGGGTTCTGTTGCATGGACGTGCCATGCCTTCAGCCACTCTCTGTGTGTCCCCACTTTTCCACCATCACAAACCACGCCGTGACCAGCAAGACCCGACCGCTTGTCTTGAGTAGACAACCAGACCCAGAAGAGCTGAGGGTAGAGCTGGTGGGATGTGTCCCACATGCTCTTGAGTGACAGGCAGGGCCAGCAGTGACAGGCAGCCGCCCCGGGCGGGGGTCCCCAGATGTCACCCCAGCTCTGTCTGGGAAAGCGGCCACACTGGGGCGGGGAACCCCTGTGGACACGTTGGGCTTCGCCCCTCTGCTGCCATCCTCACTGGCTGTGCCCTGTGTTTGCTCTGCAGATAGTCTGGGCTGGAAGCTCTTCTATGTCACGGGCTGCCTGTTTGTGGCTGTGCAGAACCTGGAGGACTGGGAGGTAAGACTGGTACCGGCTTCAGCTCAGGTCACTGCAGTGGGCCCAGCAGAAAGACAGGTCCAGGCCTGATGCCTCATCCTGAGGTGTTAGCGCAGGGGTTTCTGGTCAGCCGGGCTCGGCCCCTGGAAGTGGGCTGTCCGTGACTGTTCCTGGGCCGAGGAAGCCTCTGAAGCCGTTTTCTCCTAGAAGCTCTTCACGACTGTTTTACCCACTTTTCTCCCGAGTGAAGTTGTATTGTAGCACAGAATGAAACGAGGGGCGCGCCTGCTCCCTTGGAGGCTGGCGCCCTCCCCTTGTGCCCTTCATGAATCCTTTGAGCTGCCTGGCCCAGTGCTGCTCTCTGACCCTTGACCTCCGTTTCCTTGTTTGATGACTTTGGCCATTCTACTTCTCTTTTGCTGGCGAAGAGGAGAGAGCACCTGCCTTGGTGTCCCGCTCACTGTACCCCTAGCCCCCTGCGCCCCTTGCACTGTCCAGAGTCCGAGGGTCAGGCTGCAGGCGTTTGGCTTTGGCGGTGCAGCACTCAGGGTGTCGGGGGTTTTGGGTTCTGACTGGATGGCAAGGAAAAGGGGCTGCCCCCTTCTTGGGTGCCTGCTCTGGAGAGGGTGTGACACAGTTGGCGAGCTCAGGCCCCCTCCCTGGAGGTATGTGGTCAGCTCATGCACAGAGGCCAGCAGTCGGGTGACCCTTCTGTCCGGTTTTCCAGGAAGCTGTCTTCGACAAGAGCACTGGGAAGGTCGTGCTGAAGACGTTTAGCTTGTACAAGAAGCTGCTGACTCTTTCCAAAGTAGGCCACGACCAAGGTGAGGTGTGGGGAGCAAACAGGACACTGGGTACTGCGGGCTGGACAGAGGGCAGCGAACGTGTGTGATGGCTGGGACCGGACCTAAGGCCTGGAAACACTCAGTGACTGGGGTTGTGGACCACCTCGCAGACGCGGGGTGCCCCTAGACGCACCCTGGCCTGAAGGCTGTTGCTGGGTGGCCCTCAGCTCGTTGACCAGATACTAGGGTCCAGGAAGACATATGCAGCAGGTGGGGAAAGAAAGCAGAAAGGCAGGCAGCATAGTGCTTAACTGCCCCTTGACATGCCAGACTGCTCACGAGAGCACAGGCAGGCTTTTCAAGGCTGCAATGGGTCCAGCGGACATTCCTTCTCACCCAGACGACGTTAACCGGCGGCTGCGTGGCCCTGCACTGGTCACTGACCTGTGACATCCAAGATCAGGGTCTCGGCTGTGTTCTAGGGCCCAGCCTTAGTGACCAGCACTTTCTGCAGAGTAGCCAGCAGGATTTGGTCTTCTGCAGAAGTGACCATGCCCAGCACATAGGTGGGGGGACGATGCCGCTGCCATGCCCCTGACCTGTCCCCACTGCAGTGGTGGTCTTGTTGAATGACATCCGGGACGTGAACGTGGAGGAAGAGAAGGTGCGGTACTTTGGGAAAGGCTACATGGTGGTTCTGCGGTTTGCGACGGGCTTCTCCCACCCCCTCACCCAGAGCGCTGTCATGGGCCACCGCAGGTAAGCCGAGGCGGCCAATGTGATTGGCCAGGGCTGCTCGCCTGTGCACTCACCCTGCCAGGTGGCCCTCCCAACAGACCACCCAGTATGGCGGGGTGGCGCAATGGGGCACAGGGAGGGCCATGGGGTGGCTGGGTGACCATCCTGCCACCACCACTAGATGAGGACAGAGGATTGGGGCCTCAGGGGTCCCTGCAGGACAGAGGGCTTGGCTGGGGTCAGGTGAGGGTACAGGCCAGGACGGAAGGTGCCAGGTTCTGGTGGGGAGCCCCGGGGGTGCTGGCACTTCCACTGTGGCAACAAGCCTTTCTTCCCGGTGCCCGCCTGGCCCAGTGATGTGGAAGCCATCGCCAGGCTCATTGCCACCTTTCTGGAGCTGCACCGCCTCGAGAGTCCCGTGGAGCTGTCTCAGAGCAGCGACAGTGAGACCGACAGCCCTGGAAGCCAGAGCTGACACCCCTGGAGGCCCTGGCCTTGGTTCTGACAGCACTTCAGCAGGCCCGATGGGCTGCCTGCCAATCTCCCTCCTCACCCGACTGTGTCCCTGGCAGCCCCAGGGAGGCACCCTGCTGTTCGATCTGCCCTTTGAACTAAACCACAGCTGGACCTCCTCTGCAGCCTCCAATGTGTCCAGGGAGGGCATGGGCCCCCTGGAGTCAGACTGTGCCAGCCTGGACGGTGTGGGGTGTGAGTGCGATGGGCTCCCAAGCCACCAGCTGTGTTGGGCTCGAGCCTCTGAAATGGGAAGAACGCTGAGGCTCCCCAGGGCACAAGGCTGAGGCTGGCATTCCTGCCCTGAGATGGAGCACTGAGGTGGGGAGGGAGGTTGGCCAGCACAGATCCCGCGGGATCCAGTGCGCAGGTTACAGCGGGGCTTCAGCAGGCCAGTGTGGGGCCAGCGGCTGGGTCAGGCTCTGAAGACATAGGCCAGCGTTTTCCCAGAATCCCAGCGTCTTCGTCCGGCCCCCATGCAGCACCCTTCTCCTGTCCAGACGTCCCCAGTAGTCACAAGTGTGCTTGCTTGTGGGCTGCTGGGGGGCAGAGTGGACACTGCAAGGCCCACCTGGCTGCTGCAGACCACTCTCTTACCAAGGTGGCTCATCTCGTATCCAACCAAGATTGCAGCTGGGCTGTCGGGGAGCATCCTCTCCCCTCCCTCCTAGGCCAAGACTGCTTGGCAAGAAACGATGTTACCTAGTTCAGCCTGGTGCCTTCAAACCAGGACACCTCCCTTAGAAATCAGAGTCCCAGCTTCTCCTGAGCCCTGGGAAGACCTGACAGTCGGGCTCTGCGTGGCTGGAAGTGGGCTGTGCCCACGCAAGCTGGACCCTGAGAACAGGGCTCGAGGCTGCATGTGGGAACTGCCGGGGAGAGCCCAGAGCAACACCGTCTTGCCCAGACCAGGGCTGCGGCTGCCTGGGGGAGTAAGCAGTTTCTAGGGATCCTCTCCTTTCTCAGCAGTGGCTGCCGATCAGCCCTTCGTTTGAGTATACAGTAATTCAAACCTGCCAGTTAGGTTTTTTCAAGGGCCAAATCCAAAATGCTTTTTCTCTAAAATAAAAAGTGTGAAACGCTGTAATTGGCTTCTGGTATGTACGTCTGGAGGGTCTGAGGAGGGGTAGGGGTCTGTCTGCCACCCTGCACCTCCCCGCCCCCCCACAGGCTAGCTTGCTTTGGACCCTCTGCTGGGACCCCAGGGCCAGGAAGGTCTTGGGACCACTGTGAAGGCCTGACTGCCACCAGCCTGAGCCAGGGACGTCTCAGTGAAGTCTGCCAATTCCTTCAGTGTGACTTCTAGCTTCTATTTAACGTTTTATTTCAAAAGCATTAACGTTCTCTGCAGACCAGTGAACAGGGCCCCACATGTGTTTCCTTCCGTGGTTTCCACCTTCCTCTTCCCCATGATAACCGCGTGCCCTGTGGGCGCTGTCTCCTGCATGGCCATCCTGGAATCAGGCCCGACAGGGCTGGACGAGGGTGTGGCAGGCCCCCTCCGCTCAGGGGTCCTGACCTGTGTCCGGGCCCGGGCTGGCCAGTAGGGACCAGGGCCTGGCCGCCTCGCTGAGGTCCTGCAGCAGCTGCTGCAGCTGCCGCAGACTGGGCTGCACGTTCTCCTCCAGCCACTCTTCCACAGCGTCCGGGTAGAAGATGCGACACAGGGCGGCTTCCAGCTCCCCAGCGAGGGCGCTCCACCTGGCCAGGAGACTGATGGCCCAGATGGCAGTGAGCCTGCCCGAGGACGAACCTGGGCACAGCTCACGGCCTCAACAACCCCCATGTCGGTTTGGTCCCAGGCCTCAGTTTACCCATCCATAAAACGGGGTGGTCGGCAGTGTTGGGAATCAATGAGTGACTGTCACATTTAACACCGGAGCCCAGAACGTACTTGACGACGGGCTGGCAGGGTTTTCTTGGTGCCTGCCCCCGTCAGTGGGGAACAGCACCTTACACTTAGAGGGGACAGTGTGTGGCCTCAGCTCAGAGCTGAGCCAGGAGAGCCCCAGGGAGGCTGGCTGGCAGGGACCCTGTGTCCGTGGTGCTGCGGAAAACTTAGCACAGATGAGCCTGGACCCTGCCCAGGTCATTCTGGTGCCCCCACCCTCTCAGGCTGGGAACGGCCTAGCCTCTCTAAGGTTTAAGGGCACCGCCAATTCAGTGAAGTTGAGTGGCCTGGGGATCCATGGCTGTGATGCCCAGAAAGCTTGTCAGGGCCAGTCACCACAGAAAGGAGCCCTCATGCAGCACAGGACGGCAGCCCTGGGGGTAGGCGCTGCAGGGGGGTGGGGGGCTACCTGAGCGCCTGGGGCTGGATGTGCTGGATCATGACCGGGTGGATGAACTTCCGCCTGCGATGGTAGGGGCTGAACCAGCCAGTCACGTACCTGGGGGCAAATCCACGCACGCAGGTGGGCCCCACGCAGTGGGTAAAGCAGCCTCGGCGTGGTACTTCAGTAAAAGTCTGGTAGAAATTCTAAAAAGCTGGCTCCCCTCTAGAAAGCCTTAGTGCAGGATGGGCCGTCCTCGCCCTGTCCGGTGGGGGGTGGAGGGTGCGGGGTGGGGCTCGCTCTCCTGCTCACCCACCTGTCCGTGTGCAGCATCTCATCCACGGAGCCACGTAGGTGAAGGCCGACTTGTGTGACGAGGGCCAGGATGTCGCTGCCAGGGAAGGAGGCAGCCCCGTCGCTGCACAGAGAACCAAGGTGCTGAGACACGGCAAATGTGGGGAGAGGGGCCGAACTAGGGGTGGGGGTTACCTGCTGAAACTGGTGATTTCCAGGCTCGGAATTCCGAGGAAGTTCTCCACTCTTGTTTTAACGTCTTCAGCAAAGCCTCCTGAAACCAACCAGATGGAGACGGTGAGGAGGGAGGGAGGCCTGCACGGGTCACCATGCCCCGACCTCCAGGCCCTCGGGCAAGGGCGGTGAGCCAAGTGGCCCAGGAGGGCCGCTGGCCAGGCCAGCTGGGCATGTGCCATCCCAAGGAGAACCCGCTGCTTCTCGTGAAACATGCGAAAATCTGTTTGTTATACTGACAATTCAAGAAGTGAGGGTGTGTCGCTGGCAGCACACACACACCCCTGGCAGCCCCCACGGGCCAGGCTCACACAGTACTTTGCAGCTGTTGCCCACACAGTGGAGGCTCCAGAGCCGCCAGGCCCACGGTGCCAACGCCCACAGATGCCCGTGCATGCTGGGCAGGTGGGCGCAGGGCGGTGACGGCGCACGGCCCCCAGGAGGCAGGAGGCGGCCCTCCCTGCAGGCGGCAGGAGCCAGCGCGTCTGCTCCGCTGTCACAGCCCTTTGTGAGAGCAGCCCGGACGTGCACCGGAGAAGAGAACAGAGCCGAGGACCGTCCTTTGGCGTCGCTGGGCACAGCACAGGCCTCTTCAGATGGCGTGTTGGTCAGGCCAGCTGTCCTCAGTGTCCCCGGACAGCTCTCCACACCAACGCCATTCCTCTGCGATGTCACAGCCTAAATGCACACGAGTGACGGCCGCCTTGGGACCATCCCACGGCCCCGGTGGTGAGCAGGAAGTGGCAGTGTTGGGCATCCGGGATGCTGATGTAGCAAAAGCAGCTCTCCACACTCCATCCATGATGAATTTCTTTGGGGTTTCACTGTGTCTGGGGGCACATCCCCTTACTTCCCAGCCTGTCCTCAGTTTAGGCTTGAAGACCTGGGCTGGCAGCAGGATGGGTGGCTGAGCCAGGCCGTGGGCACGTGCTCCCCCTATCTCTGATGAAGACCACAGTCCAGCCCCAAGGACGCCTGGCCTTTGTGCCGCCTCCTGTCCCCCCATCCTCCTGGGAAGAGCAGGGCACCGTACCCTGTAGCAGTGACTGCAGACAGACGGCCAGGGATGGGATCCCCACGGGCAGCAGCTCGCACAGCACGGAGAAGTGGTCGTACCTATGTCCACGGGAGAGGGGCGCTCAGCTCCCCTGCCCCACAGCACATGCTGGAACACTATACCCTGGACAGGCACCTACACCTAGAAGCTTCTGCAGAGCTGGCTGCTGCCTCTGGAAGAGCCCCTCAGCTTCCCGAGTGCAGACCCCACCCAGAGCCCAGCCAATGCTCTGCAGTTGGTCGCTTCCCTGAAATCCTCAATGAGCTCATCTTTGACTCAGCTTTGTGAGGTCAGAGGGTTGGGGCTCATCTCACAGGCTCTGCCTCCAGCTGGTTTGGGGTGCTCCCCTGCCCTTGGTCCCGGAGCCACCTGGCCTCCCCCCACCCCCCCATCGCAGGGTAGGACCCGTGGCCAGGACTTGGCCAAGACTAGCTAGATTTTTAAGTTGGTGTGAATTTCTGAAGAGCCCACATCTGGCCCCGTCCTCTCTCTACATGAGCCGCGTGGGTGGCCTCCAGGAGGCTGTGGGCTGTGGACAGGCATGCAGATCGGACAAGGCGTGGGGCCAGGAGGGCAGCGTGCTCTGCGGCCCTGACACGCTGTGCAGAGGTTGGGGGCAACCGCAGGGGTCAGGGGCCCAACTCCGAATGGCTCTTCTGTGCAGGTGCTCCTTGGGGCGCAGGCAGGCCCTTCCCTCCCACAGACCGTGACCGCGTGCACGGAGGCGTCCACACCACAGGTGAGAAGTCCAGGCACCCTCCCCGAACAGGCCGGTCTGTGGGGACTCACCTCTGCCAGCCAGTCAGGACAATGCCCTGCAGCACGTCTGCGGGCCCGCAGGCCGCCACTTGCAGCCACTGCATGTGGTTTCTGAGATGGTGCTCGATAGGCGTCAGTGCCTGGCTCGCCCCCGTGGCCCCCTTGAAGGCACTGGCAGCCCAGAGCCGCCGAAAACCACACTTCCGATACTTTTCCATGAGGAGGGCTGAGGGAGACAGCAAGAAGTGTGACTGGCCGGGTCCCGAGCAGGCTGAGGCCACCAAGCCCTGAAACACGAATGCCCAATGCCAGGCTGCCCAGAAGGGAACCGGAGGAGCACGTGCCCACCAAGCTTAGCTCTGTGGGATTAAATCTTAGTGAGAGCAGACACCTGCGCTCATGGAGGGCTCCAGGCCACCTGTTCACTAGGACAGGCCATCCTGTGAGGACCCAGCCGAAGGACAGGTGCCAAGGGCCGTTCCCCCAGGGCCGGCCAGGGCTCCTTAGGGGAGGGGCTTGATGAAGCAGGGGCAATTCAGAGTCCGATGAGCCAAGTGACGTGACCCCTGCCTCCTCCCAGCTGGGCAGTCAGGGCTACATGGTCTGCCCCGGCAACACGGTACTGACCCTTGCCTTGGACGTCCAGGTTGGCCGTGTAGTCCCAGAGCATGGGCTCCACCAGCTGCGGCACCCCCGATGCTGGGGGCAGAGACAGGCCATGAGTGCGGAGACCGTCTAGAAACAGCCCTCAGCCCACACTTCTTGCATAAAATTGGAACACAAGCCATCTTTTCCAGGACAAGCAATTTTAAATACAGAGTCAACACTGTGCTGTTTGGTGGCAATGCCACAGCCACAAAGCCAGCCAGCCATGGAAATGACCAGACCCCTGGAGTTCTGTGAAGGGCAAACCCAGAGCTTCCTTTGAGGGCAGAACGTGCTGTCTGCAAGCTGTGCTGGGGTGCTAAGCCCAGGGGCAGCGGGGACACGCTGCTAACGGATTTAATTCTAATTAATCCTAACCAAAACCCAAGTGGCCACACGTGGGTAGTGGCTGCCGTGAGGACACCTGAGCCTTGCAGAAGCGTGGGGCTGACCGGGCACCCGAGCACCAGATGTGCCTGGCCGGGGCTGTGAGAGGACCACGCCGACCTACCACGCATCCCAAAGCCTCAGCCACGTGAGCAGGGGCCTGGGGAGGCCACTGCTCCCCTCGGTGAACCTCAGCCACGGCCGCTGCAGGGCCGGTCTCCAGCCAAGTGGGCCGAGGCTGCTGGAAGCGCCGGACACAGTCAAGGCCCATCAGGGCCCATGAGGGCTCCTCCCCCGCATGGCACCCTCCTGATGGCCCGGGCCCCTCAGGCCTCGGGGCCACTGGCATTCACACCGATCGCTTCGGTGCTCCCGCAACACTCTACTGCACTTTTCGGGGCAACGGCATCTCCACCACAGGAAACGTAAAATGCAGTTCCCATGGCACTGGATTCAAAGCTTCGGTGCAGACTCACGACAGGCTCACGACAGCTTTGCGACAGTTCTGCTGGGGGGCGGGGGTTGTGCTCGGAGGCAGCGCCGCTCCCTTCTCCCAGGGGCACCAGGAAGCCCTCCGTGGCGGCGCCCCGGCTGACCTGAGAGCTGGTCCTCGGGGATGTCCCGCAGCATGTCATCCCACACCAGGGGCGTCGTGGCGGGGTGCCGGGCCAGCACGTGGCTGGCCACCGCCTTCACGTGGGACAGACACAGCTTGGCTTTGGTGTTCTGCTCCTCCTGCAGCCACTGTCGCGAGGCCTCGCCCTCTCCAAGGTAATAGACCTGGAAGGCAGGACGACTCAGGACGGGTTTGCCTTGGGACCGCCCGTCCTCAGCCGGGGACGCGCTCAGGATGACCAGGGGCTTAGCTGTGGCCTGAGAGCACCCCAGGGCCAGCTGTGTGTGAGGGGGTGGGTGGTAGTGAAGGCTGACCCTGCCGTCTTCACCGAGACCTAACCTTCCACTTACATTTCCTTTCACAGCAGCAGAGGCAGAAATAGCCCAGCTGTCCACCAGCAGGGAACCGTCTACAGACACACTGGAGTGTTACTCAGCCACAAGGGGCGAGGCGCGTCATGCCCAGGGAGAGCAGCCGGACACAAAAGGCCACATGCTGTGGAATTCCATTTATGAAATGTCCCCAAGAGGCAAATCCACAACCAAGGAGGAGACAAGGGGTTTCCAGGGGCTGGGGGCGGGGATGGGAGTGAGTGCTTGAGGGGTGTGTGGCTTCCTTTTGGGGGGTGAAAGGTCCTGAATTATATGGCGGTGGCTGTAAAACATCATAAGTGTACTTAGAAGTCACTGAATCGCACGCTTCAAAATGGTTACAATGGTAAATGTTATGTATATTGTACTACCCCCAAAAAAGATTTCCTTTGAAGAAAAAGATCGGCTTCTAGGATGGAAACGTCTGCAAAGCACTGTCCTAGCTCAGGTCCAACCACGCTCAGTGGCCAGCTCAGCATGCCCCCGGGCTCTGTCCGTGCTTCTCGAGGAGCGAAGCAGAAAGAAAGAGGCGTGGGGACACGGACCCCAGCACCCCCCAGACAGCCTTTCCCTGCTACTGCTCCATGGCCCCAAAGTAACATTGCCTTTCTCCCACCACCCAAAACTGTTTCTTTAGCTGGAGCAAGTAACCGGCGCAAACTCACACCCTCCGCCAGCCCTGACGGCATGATCCCCGAGCTATGGGCAGCACAGCCATCTTGGGCCGCAGCCCCTCCCGCTCCTGACCACCGGTGCCATGGGCTGTGCCTGCTGGGCCCCCAGGTCTGCCTGGGCAGCACCAGCGCCCTCACTGGGGACCACCGCCTCAGCCAGCCCTTCTTTGTCCTTTGGCATGTGGACTATTTTTCTGTTTAAAAGAAGCCGTGAGGTGGGAGAAGGTGGCCTTGAAGTGAAGACAAGGAGACTGCTGCAGAATTGGGGAGCAGAGGAGGCGATACAGACACCCACCTCGTCACAGCCAACATGGAGCCACCGGGAGCCCGGGTGCAGCTCCATGACCTGGTCTACCATGGCTCTGACCAGTGCCAGGGACTCCGCCTCGTGGGGGTTCAGGGTGTTGGGGAAAAACGCCACTTCTCGGAGGTGAGCGAGAGACTCGTGCTTCAGCACAAACTGCAGAGAGATGACATGAGGGAGCTCAGTGACACTGGGGAGAGCAGCTCGTGCCAAGCTCCTCGCAGCAAGGGACCCCCTGTGAAGGAGACCTGGCTCCGGCCTCTGAGTTGTGACCAGCCGAGTCTTGGTTTAAACTCTGACACCTGCTCAAAGTCACCACAGAGGGCCGGCGTGGCAGTGTGGAAGGGGCCTGGCTGGTGGTGGGGCCGCAATGACAGAAAGCAGAGCCCAGGAGGCCCAGTGGCCTCGTCACAGCCCTTCCCTTTCCGTCCAATTCTAACTGGGCCTGGTGAGAAAACGAAGTAGACCGGGTCTGTTCACATTCAGAACTGCAGGCTGGGCGGGCTTCCCGCAGCAGTGGCATGAAGAGGGTGGCAAATCCTCTGAAGAAAACAGAACCGTCTGTCAAAAACAACCTCTTCAGGGCTCTGAAAGTCGACCAAAGGTGGACAGCAAACTGGGAAATGTTGCTTCAGGAAAGACTGCTGTCGCTGAGTAAGAACAGGTTCTGCAGCTTCGCACCTAGGCTGCTGTCATCCCCACTCAGGGCTGGCTGTGGTACCTCCTGGGGCACTGTCAGTAAATGCAGCAAACTCGCCCAAACTCTGTGGTCCCCACTGGGGGATGCTGCCAGCCACCAGAGATGTAACCCTGAAAACCAGAGAGCCACAGGCAACGCAGGCTCTCCCACAAGGTGGCTGACTGGGAGCTACACACATGGGGGGTCTGCGAGGGCTGGGTGGAAGTAGCCTGCGCAGAGGGAGAACTGGCTGAACTCTGAATGCCCCCACCCCAGCCCCCAAGGCACAAGGGGGGAACTTACAGGCTTAAGCACAACCACTGCCCAAACCCTGTGAAATCAGACGGATGACCCCTAGGAGGCCAGGCTAAAAATAAGAATAAACAACTAGCAGAGGCATCAGTGGACACACAGCTGGGAAGAGAGACCCCGCAGATTAAACCCAGGCAACTTACAGCCACCTGCAGGGAAAATCAGATGTTATAATCTGAAATGTCCAGTTTTCAACCAAAAATTATGAAACATGCAAATGAACTGGAAAGTGAAACCCAGACTAGGGGGTGGGGGCGGGGGGGGGGATCGATAGAAATTGATGCTGAGTGGGCCCAGATGTTGAATTTATCACAATAATTTCAAAGAAACGATCATGAATATGTTCCCAGAGTTAAAGAAAACTATTTACAATAATGGAAATGAGAAATCCATTCGATGGGCTCAGCACCAGATTTGAAATGTTAGAAAAGTCAGTGATTGGGACAACAGATCAACAGAAATTACTCCGTTTGAATAACAGTGAGAAAAGGTGAAGTAAGTGGACAGAACCTCAGGGACCCACGGGACATCAAACATAACAACGTACATGCCAAGAGAAAGAGGGTCCCAGAAGGAGAGGAAAGGACAGAAAAAACACTTGAAGAAACAGCCCAAAACTTCACAAAAGTGATGAAAAACAATCTACAGCTCCAAGAAGCTCAACAAATCTCCAGCAGGATAAATGCAAAGAAACCCACACCTAACACATTGTAACCAAACTGCTAAAAGGCAAACACGAACAGGAAGTCTTGAGAGCACCAGGGTAAAAACAAAACAAACACTTTTAGAGGAATAACACAATTAATGGCTGACATACCATGTTCACGGGACTGGAAATGTCAACATAGGAAACAGGTACTATCCCCTAAATTGATTTACAAGTTTAACAGAATTTCAGTCAAAATCCCAGCAAGGTTTCTTGTACATATACAGACAAACTGATTCTAAAATATATATGGAGAGGCAAAGGAACTAAAATAGCCAAAACATTCTGAAAAAGAATATAGTTGGAGGAATCTCACTACATGATTTTAAGATTTACAGTAAAGCTATAATAATCAAGATAATGTGGTATTGACAAAGGGATAATGCACAGATCAATGGAACAGAATAGTCTAGAAATAGACCCTCACAAATACGGTCAACTGATTTTTGACAAAGGTGCAAAGGCAGTTCCAAGTTCCAAATTTCAAAGAAAAGACAGTCTTTTCAACAAATGGTTTAGCAAAGTGGTTACATACTATACGCAAAAATATGAGCCTCAACCTAAACCTCACGGCTTGCACAAAATTAACTCAAAATGGGTGAGTCTAAATGGAAAATGTGCAAGTGGAAAACTTCAGAAGAAAACAAGAAGAATCTGCAGGAACTGGTGGTGGGCAAAGAATCCTTAGAAACGACACCAGAACCATGATTCATCCAAGAAAAACTGATAAACTGGGCTCATCAAAATGAAAGACTTTTGCTCTTGAAATACACTAAGAATGAAAAGACAAATTGCAGACTCAGAGTATTTGCAAATCATATATCTAACAGAAGACTTGTATCCAGAATATACAAAGAAATTTAAAAACTCAACAGCTCAGACAGCGAGACGCGAAAAACACTTGAACAGTTATTTCAGCAAAAGAACGCTCGTGGCAAATGAGCACACTAAATGTCTTCCTCCAGGAAGGAGCAACTTTGGGGACACCTTGATTTTGGACTTCTGGCCTCCAGAACTATGAGAACAAATTTCTGCAGTTGGAAGCCACCTGGTTTTGTGATCCTTTGTTATGTCTACCCAGGAAGCAAATCTACCCCAAGAGCACATAAGGCCACCTAAGGCCACCTAAGGCGGGGCGAGTGTGGACTGACAGGGCTGTACTTTGAGACAATCCGACTGGCTGCGGGCGGGGCCCCAGGGGACCCATTAGGAGGGTTGACAGTAGGCTGGGTAGTGTTCAGACAAGGAGGGTGACAGTGGGATGGAGAGGTGCTGACTCAGGACACAGAGCAGCAAAAGCTGCAGGTCCTGCCAGGGGACGGGAAATGCAACAGGCATGGGGGCTGTTGGGGCGGTGCAGCCCCTCGCTCAGTCTGGAAGGGGCCCTCGGAGGCAGCCAAGGGGAAGCAGTAGCGGAAATGGCGCTGTCCAGAGAAAGGGCATGAAGTGAGGAGAGGGGCCTCGGGAGGGCTGTGGGGACCGCCCAGTCCAGCGGCAGCTTCAGGACGGCACACAGCTGACCGGTGGAGGCGCAGCCAGAGTAGGGGGACCAGGAGAGCATGGGGCTCGGGGAGGGAGTTGTCAGCGATGCCAAAAGCCTCTGAGAGGCAAGTAAGAGAGGACAAAACCTACTGCTGGATTTAGTGACTCGAACACCGGTGGCCTCGGGAGAGATGCTGTGCAGGGGAACATGGTCCCCTGCGGTGGAAAGCGATGAGAACCCAGAGAGCACAGCAGGGAGAGTCAACTGGAAAGCTGGGGGCTGGTTACGGGACAGAACCCCAGAAGACACACTCCAGAAGAATGCGAGCGTGTGCCTGAAGACTGCTCCTTTGGCGCCACATGTGAGTGAAAACACGGGGAAGGGCTGTCAGTAGATCCAACAGGTGGATTCGTCAGAGGAAAAACGGAACCTGAGAGCCATTAACTCAGTGTTGTGCTTAATTTGCTTCCCATTGTCTGATACAGACGTGAAAAGTACTGCTGAAGATCACGCAGGAGCACGGGAAAATATTTCCAATATGAAGTGCGACAAGGACACAGTCACAGAAAGCATGTTCTTTCCTTGAGGCTGCACAGTAATACTTTGGTAGATACAAGTTAAAAAGCCAACAGCCAGGCCCCCCACGCTCCAGGGGTGTCACTCCTCTCCCGGCTCCCCCTCCATTCCTGGACAGAGGGGGCTCTGGCCCACAGCTCTGCACCCCGGCTGTTCGCAGGGCAGGGTCTGCTGGGAGCGAGAGGCTCTCATGGGGCTGAGCCGCTTCCGCCCGTGGCACCCCCGAACCCCACACAGGGCACCAGATGACTCCCGTTCCTCCCACTCACCTCCATGTGTCCGAATGTCTGCACCAAGGGAACAACCGCGAGCTCGTTCAGTGTGGCCAGATGCAAGATCTCTTTGATTTCAGAGGGGCTGCAAAGATCACCCAGAGAGGGTCACACCAGCTCCTGCTCACACCCCCCAGCCCCTCCTTGTCAGGCTCCTGGGGGACTCTCCTGGATAAACACTAACTCCGGAAGGCTCAACAGGTATTCTAAATGTTTCAGAGCCGCTCCTGCTCTACAACTTGGGGAAATGATGCTCTGTTCTGACCTCAAATAATGGTTTGCTATTTACCAGCTATTCTTACCCAACTACAGGAGGCTGAAGTCACTTTACCAGAAACTGGGCCCCACAAGGAATCATATTCTACAGCAGGGACGCTGGGCAGGTCTGAGGACAAATTTACCTGCCTGTGACCTAAGAATGGTTTCTACATTATAAAATGGCTGAGAAAAATCAAAAGAGTAATATTTTGTGATGTAAAAAGGATATGAAGTTGATATTTCAGTGTCCATAAGTAGACTCTTATTGGCACACAGCCACGCCCACTTATTTGCATAACACCTGCGCGGATTTTGCCCCACTCTGGTGGTACCAGAGACCAGAGGCCACAGACTGAAATGTTTACAGTCTAGTCTTTATAGAAAAAGCAGGTGACTCCTTTGTCAGAGGAAAGAAAGGAGAGCCTGGTGGTTCCTGTGGCGTGGCTCCACCCCCGAGGAAGCCTGTGTGAGCACCCCCTGGGCAGAACATTCGGTGCCTCCAGGCCTGGTTCTGTGCTGACTGCCCCTCCACCATGAGCTGTCGTTTGTGAATTCATCTCTAAAAGGCCAGTTCCAGTTCCTGTATGTGTGTGAACCATCTCTTAAGAAAATCACTTCTATAAATGTATTGATTATATGAAGTAGTCTTTACCCTGAATACACTGTTTTCTAGCTTCACAGGGACCCCAGCACCTTTTTCACTTAAAACAAACAAATGAGCAACATGTGTTCATCGTAGGAAGAAAAACAGAGCAGCACAAAGAAAACGAAAAGCGTGGGCCACCTCACCAGCACTGAGTCTGGTTCACACCTTCCCGCCCACTCACGAGGGGCATGTGGGGCAGACATGTTGGGAAGTCGACACAGAGCCAAACTGCGTCCCAGAATGGCCGGGCTCTTGACAGCCCACTGGTGGGAGGTCTGCTTTTTCTCACCCTCATAAAAGCAGAACATTATAGTTTCTTAAAAAGATTCACCAATTTGGTAGCCAAAATAGGATTTCATTGTTTTAACTTCTTTTATTACTATCACAGGCTTACTTTTGTCTTTTGCACATTACTGTCCTTTGGCCATTCCTCTTTTGGGCTACCTGGCACATAGGCACCACAATTTTACAGCCAATTGGGGTGCTGCCAGGCCCGCCATCCTTCACCGACACCCAGCCTCTCCTTCTAATCTTCACTTCCCACGAAGCGCCCGCTGTGGCCCTAATGAGCAGCCATCCTGCCCCTGCATGCCCCGGCACAGGGCTCTCTCCGCAGTCCACATCCACCCACAACCAGGGCGCTGCTCCCCTGTGAGGCCCACAGTCCATGCTTATTATCTCTTAAACATTTCCAAACTCTTCGGTAAACGTGTTGTTTTTATAATCAGACACGCATTTAAAAAGACAGAAGGGGATTGTCCCACTCTTATCAAATTCCCCTGGCTTCCCCGCACACCCAGGCTACCACCACCACCCCACACCCACCTTCTCACACGGCATGGGTACCTGTATGCATGCTGGGCCCTCAGCAGCTTCAGGTGGCCCTCATAGGGGAACATGTCTTCATACTCAATGAGGAGGCCGTTTGCACCCAGGGCACGAAACAGAGGAAATATCTGGGGAGAAACGGGGGATGTCAGGAAGAAGTGACTACTTGAACGGGGAGTCACACATATGCAGCATGTGGGTTCTTTTTAGCTATGGGTGTGGATTGTAGTTGGTCTTCGTATTCTCCCTGTAAACTTTTAACCTGGAATGTGTATTCTTTGTTATACCAAATCAAGCTAACATAGTGACATGTTCTTTTGATAGAGGGGTGGGGGACCACACACTGTAAACAGCAGCTGACTGGTGGCTTAGCTGGGCCAGCAGGGACAGCCCACTCCAATCAGAGCCTCTTCCTGCTGAGACACAGCACAGGGGAGCTTTCTGGAGCACCGGGAACTGGGAGACCTACAGGGCTCTGGAGGGTTGGTGGTGAGTGCCCAGGAAGAGGGCTGGCGGTGAGTGCCCAGAAGGGCTGGCGATGAGTGCCCAGAAGGGCTGGCGATGAGTGCCCAGGAAGAGGGTTGGCGGTTGAGTGCCCAGGGGGAGCAGTAGAGGGAGCTGAAAGGGAACAGAGGTGGGCTGGTCCTGGCTCCCTCACGGGGCTCCTCCTCTAGCGCTCCCCCACTGCTCCACCTGTATTTCACAGAATATGAATTGGTATCCTCAAGGATCTTTAGGACCAGGTCATGTGTATTGTACACAGAGCTGAGACCTTCCTCCAGTCTGGCGTCTCAGCCGAGGGAACAAAGGGCGCATTCTGAGCATTAAAGGAAGGACTTCCTGCAGATACTCAAACAGCAACCCCAGGTGAGAGCGTTGCAGGTTTCATATGATTTGTGACACTCTTGTTGACATTATTGTCAAAGTTTTCTTTCCCCAAGAAGCTGGGACATTCTGAAGCGTGCTAGATGGAAGGAGGACACCGGCTTGGACCTGAAAATCAGCTGTGCCTACTTCATAAAATGGGTCAGCAGTAACTGACTGCACACTAAAAATAATAATTGTCTTACACTACAAAACCATGCATGACCTCATCCCATACCAAGGACGTCTGCAAAGATTCCAAACTGGGTCCCATTCACATTCGAGGGGCGAGGATTTGAACGTAACATTTTGGGGGACACAATTCAGACCACAACGAAGAGGGTTTCTTTTGTCCTTCCTAATGTTCTTTTTCCTATGCTGGTTGCTGTGTGCTCTGTGAGGGGAGTTGGGGTAAATTCAAAATCCACACTACTGCCACCCTCGTGACCCCCCCCCCCCAGCCCGTGGCTGAGTTCTAAGCACACACGTCTACGGAACAGCGTTCACAACGTGAACGGCCACACCCGAGGCAAAAGTGGGTCCCCCGGAAGAAAAAGGCAGCTCCCACCTCCGCGAGGTATGAGACCTTTGGCGGGGCTCCTTTAAGGTCCAAATGAACAAGGCGCATCTCAAACGGTGAGGAACCTGACATCTCGCTATTTTTTGTGAAGTCACGCGACAAAAATCTCTTCTCCAGCACTTCTTCCTAATGGAGAAATGCAGCGCTGTGAGCGGGCAGAGGCTCCTTTCGCCCTCGCGAAACCCCAGGAGAGCGCGGAGACCCCGGGAGAGGATGCGGAGACCCCGGCAGAGGATGTGGAGACCCCGGGAGGAGGGCGCGGTAGCCCCAGGGAAGGGCTGGGAAACCCCCCGCCCCAAGAGAAGGGCTTGGGGACCCCGGGAGGGCGCCTGGCGGGGCGAGGACGCACTTCAGACGGACGCTCCTAGCTCGGCGGGCACCAGGAGGTTGGAGGAGCGGAGGTGCGCCGCGGGTGTGCGTCCAGGTCCGCACTCGGTCCGCCGCGCTCGGCGCTCGGCCAGCGATTGCTCGGGCCTGGCTGTCAGCCCCGCGGTCGAAGGCCGAGCGCCTCGTTCCGCGTCCCCGGCCGCGCCAGCCTCGCGCTACCTCTCCCGGCGTTCGTCCCGGGCTCGGGGCGGCTCCTGCGTTCCGCCTGGCTCCACGGAGGGCTGGCCCGATGGCGCCTCAGCGGAGGGGCGCACCCAAGGCGCACGAGGGCAGCGGGGCGGCCGAGCGCCGGCGCCCGAGCAGGTACCAGGCAGCGCGGGACGGCGGGGGCTCAGAGGCTGCAGGGCCGAGAGGTGGGAGTGGCCCGGGGGAGGGGCGGGGCTTTTGCCGTGGGCGTGGGCGTCGTGTGGGTGTGACCTGTTGGGGCGGGTCCTGAATAATCCCGCCCCCGCCGGGGCCCCGTGGCCACCCGTGGCTGGAAGCCAGTGACGGGTCTAGGGGGCTCCCCGCGGGAAACCTTCCTGTCTCTCCTCCCCGATGTGTACAGAGAGTTGTATGCGGGCCTTCCGCAGCGGGCTGGGAGCTCCGAGGCCCCCGTCATCCCTGTTTGCCCTCCAACATGAGGGCTCCCAGTTGGATGGCCGGATGAATGAATAAGAGACCCTCTTATCGCGTAGCCTTCCAGCGGATTTTGCTAAAGCTTTCAGAGCCGGGGTGTTTTTTAATCACTGCAGGACAAATCACCCTGTTGTGATGCTCGCCCCAGGGCCATGGACCTTGCTCCCAGACCTGAAAAAGCAGCCTCCTTCTGTTTTGGCAGCTTACCCCAAACAAGGATGCTTATTTTGAGGAGACCCCGGGGGAGTGTCGCCTCCGCATCTGGCCCAAGAGGCTGTTTCTTCACCTCTTGTCTTCCTCTGCGCCTCCCCCTCTGCTCCGACCCTCTGTCTCAGCAGCCAGACTGTCCTAGGAGAACGTGTTGCCTACAGCTCTGCCCCTGCAGTTAAGGCTTCAGCCGCCTTCTGCTGAGAAGGGCTGGCAGTCTTCCTGCTCGCTTCCAAATTCTCAGGGGAAAGAAATGACGGGCCCATTCGGGCAGGCGTCCACCCCAGTCTAATCAGCAAGGCTGGGTGGGCTGGAGGCTGCACAGCAGTTCTAAGGGTGGGGTCTTTGAGGGTGAGCAGACGCCCCAGGCATCTATGGTCCCTGTTTAAAATGATCATGTGTCCACCCAACACGGTCTGATTGCTGTGCCCACCTTGGGACTTTCTGAACTGGAATTATTTATATATCCGTTTTGAGGTGTTGAGGGACATCCAAATAGAAGGCAGGCTTCCGGCTTTTCTGAAATTAATTATGTACTTGAGGGAACAAGGCTCACCTCCACGAAGGGGTGCCCTGATCTCTTTCCTCGTTTCCTGCAGTCCTTCAAGCCCTGCAGCCACCAAGTCTTTCCTAGACAGAGCGCACAGCTGCTCTGTTACACACAGGTGCAAACACATGTGCATGGACAGCACACACATGTGCATGGACATGCATGTACTACACTAACACAGACGCACATGCGGCTCCAGCACGGGCAGCGTGAGCCACACAGTGAACCCGGTGGCGGGTCATTTCTGTTGCTCTTATATTCTCTTTCTGGCTGGCTTGCAGTTTTAAATAAGTGGGTTTGACTCACACCTAACTTAGTTCGTGTTGTGTGTGTGCATGCACACCCATGCCGAGGGCACAGGCATGGAGCTGGGGCAGCCGTTTCTAGACGCAGGCAATGTGAATAGCGACAGCCTCTGGTAGGGCTCCCAGACAGGTTCTCCGTAGGCAGCCCCTCTTATCGTCTGCAAGGAGCACAGTGAGCCCTGCCTGGTCTGACGGGGGGCATGTTTTCCACTGCATCTTCCCAACTGGCGGGTGCCTCAATGGATTGAGAGTTCTGATGATGGTTAGTGTAGGGACAGCTTAAGGCGTAACCAGCAGTGGGCATGGCCTCTGCCTTCTCAACAAGCACGTTGCATTTGGGTGACGGCGGTTGTGCTTTGTGTTCTCAGCATGAAGAGCGTCCGGGCACCACGCGAGGTGTGGAGGAAGTGGCCGAGAGCCACTGTCCTGGGGGCCTGTGCCACACTTGCTGCTCTCCTGCTCTGGGGCAGTCTGGGGGGTGATGACGGTGTCACCGAGGTCCTGGCTCACCGCAGTGAGGTCCTGCCCGGAAGGTTCATCGAGGTGCCCTGCTCTGAGGACTATGACAATCACCGAAGGTTTGAAGGTACGCGGGGCTACAGGAACCCAGGAAAGAGCAGCACGTAAGCGTCAAACGCAGCGCATTGAGAATGCATGTCCGTTGCAATAAGTTGGTGGGATCAGGGTGAAAGTGGTGGAGGGGTAGCAGGTGACCTTGCCCCTCCTTCAGGTTGGTTAGCCTACACCTTGGCCGGGAAGTGCAGGTGTGTCAGGCCCTGTACAGGGCAGGCCCTCTGGGCACTGCCAGGCTGTGGCTGGCATTTCACTGAGGTGCCCCACACTGCGGGCGCTGTCTCATGAAGATGACGGTTTGTCTGGAGGGTGTAACAGAATTGGAAAGGGAGGAATTAGAAAGTTGAAACCAGAAAAGGCATTGGCTGTGGAGTATCTTAGAGCGTTGTCGCTTCAGAAAATGTTGCAACAAGGAACGTCGCTACCAGAGGCCCTTTCCCTACATGGTCGTGTGCGCCATCCTGGCACCGGCCGCTCTGAGAGGACAAAAGGAGGGAGTGGTCAGCAGCCTGGTTAGGGGCTGCCTGGTTGTGCCCAGAGGAGCCCTGAGATGCCCAAAGGCGGAGCGCGTTGAGGCCCAACGGAGTTCAGCACCCTGGAGAGCGCACAGCCTTCCATAGGGCTGGCGCTAAAGCCACGTGGGACCCCGCGCCCTCAGGCCATCTCTGGCTGCTGCATTTTCTGGCACATTCCTTGCTGCCTGGATGCTTTTTCAATTTGAAAATCCTAGCCTGAGTGACTGGGTTTTACAGGCCGAATTCAGTTTAATTTTCTATTCAGAGCAACACTTTGAACTTGAACCAAGAAGAGGTTGCCAAGTCCTTCCACCAAGGGGCGCCGTTGTGCTGCGCACGACAGGGTTTAGCAAGAAGACTACAGCTGGCTTGGCAGGGCCGCTCTGTGGGAACGGGACTGCATCCCCCCAGCGGCCAGGGCTGGGCCGTGGTTGGAGGATGCTCTGTCTTAGGCGGCTTTTCCTTCTCAAGTCCCAGCGTTCAAGAAAATACTTTTCAGTGGTTAGAGTTAAAGAGACGTTTCCTTCCTACCCATTTAGTAGGGGAGTTAGTGTTTAATGGGTACGGAGTATCAGTTTGGGAAGATGGAAAGTTCTGGAGACGACTGCTCAACACTGAATGTGCCTAGGGCCACTGAGCTGTGCTCTTACACGTGGTTAAAGCGGAAGTGTAGAGTTATGTGTGTTTTACCACGAGGGAAAACAATAGCTGGAGTGTATTTTGAAGCCGCTGAACTTCCCGGTCCTCAGCTCTGTCTTAGACCAGAGAAGCAAGGAGGTGCCTCAGGCTGGAGGGTCTTCTGGTTGGGGCGGGGCTCCTGATGAGGCCGCTCCGCCCACCAAGGGGCGTGTCTGCGTGGTGTGTGTCACTGCTTGTTTGTAGAGTGCACATGTATGTGTGCGCTGACACTCAACTGCTCACAACTCACTTTTTCACCCAGATCGTGCTCTTGGCACTTATCCATGATGAACCCGCTGTGTTGTTGCTGAATTTTAAAATTTCAGAATTCTTGGGGTTTTGGTTCTCTTTTAAAAATTGATTTCTAACCTAATTACATTGTAGCTAGAGATCTGGTATTGGTTATATATAGAGATGTGGTATTGGTTCAGACTTTCTTGGTGGCCTGATGTGTTTTCATTAATGTCTCACGTGTACCTGGAAAAATGTGTGTTTTCTAACGTTGCCTGCAGAGTTCTGTATACTTCTCCTAATCCAAGCTTCATACCAAGTGGGTACAAACCCACTAGTCCTCATGGGTTTCGGTCCCTCCATCCTGCGGTCACTGAGAAGCGTGTTAGAACCGGCACACGACCGCATCTGCCACTGCTCCTGGCTGGGCTTCCCGTGTGGGCTGCAGCATGTCCTTGGCATGATGTCACTGGGCGCTCTTGGCAGCCCTTTATCTTCCTGGAGAACTGTCCCTTTTATCACAAGCACACCCCTTTTCCTTCCCACAGTCTTGTCCTACAGCACATTAGTTGGCGCAGATGGCGCTCCCAGACTCCTGGTTGTCCCTGAGTTTGTCTTTACTTTCTACCGTTCTGTATTGCCATGTTTAAGAAGTAATCCTTATAAAAAGCATGTATCTGGCTTTGTTTTTTAATAAAAACACTTGTATCAGTAGGATTGTATTTACCTCACGAAAGTAAGGCACCCCTCGCCTGATGGCCCCCAAGTAAAGTTTGCTTTCCCACATGACAGGGCCCAGAGAAAGGCATCCCAGGCCAGCCCGGCGCCCTCAGAGTCCATGTGGGCCTGAGCCCCTCAGTACTCACACTCAGCGTGTGGCTCATTTGGTTCCAGGATACTCGCTCCATCTCCAGGCACCAGGCTCACATTCCAAGCAGGAAGAGGGGAAGAAGGGTGGAAAGCTAAAGGTCAGCCAGCCCAGTGTGTCCTGAGAGTGCCCCAAGGCTCCCATCTCATCAGCTAGGACGTGTCCCACGGCCCATTAGTGCGTGGAGCCAGCTCGCCCTTCCTCCCAAAACACAGGGAGCTTGCTGAGCTCGTTGTCTCTGATGCTCTGCCCCACCTGGCCCCGTCTGCCCCACCTGGCCCGTCCACCCCACCTGGCCCCATCCACCCTGCATGGCCCCGTTTGCCCCACCTGGCCCGTCCACCCCGCCTGGCCCCATCCACCCTGCATGGCCCCGTCTGCCCCACCTGGCACCGTCTGCCCCACCTGGCCCATCCCCATCTAAGCTGCTGCAGGCCCCATGCAGAATGGCGGAGGAAGCCCAGGATGGACAGTGTGGTGGGCACTTTGGTGGAGGTGGTCTTGGGGCCTGGGGTAGGGCAGTGACTAGAACTGCAAGCACAGCTTTGGTTGTCCAGGAGGGACTTTCTGACGGGTGCTTAGGAATGCTGGACCTGTGGTGGGCAGAGAGCCAGGGGCAGGGCATCCACCCAGTGAGATGTTGATGTGTCCTGCATGGGGTTCACTGGTACTGAAAAGTCATCCTTGATTATCTGAAATCTGAAATTCAAATCCAGTCAGTGTCCGTATTTTATTTGCCAAATTTGGCCCCTGAATCCTGTGGAAGGCAAGGCCCCATCCCATAAAACCCCATTGTCCCTGGGGAGAGCTGCCCGCAGGTGAGTTCTCAACACATATGGCGGCCTTGTTGTCGGGGCTCAGCCTGGGCTTTGCATCTCATTCTCGCTTCTCTCTCCAGGCTGCTCCCCTACCAAGTGTGGCCGGGGCGTCACCGACGCTGTCATCACCAGGGACGAAGCCCTGCGGATTCGCAGGTATGATGCTTCTCTGAGCTTCTGTCCCGGATGAGCAGGAAAAGGGGGGCTGGGGGTGGGAGGCAGAGAGTTACTACTAAAAAGATGATTTAAAGAATTCATTTAGAATTTCTTAAGAATATCCTTGTGTGCTTCCTAGGGCAGGTGTACATTTTTCCGATTTCCAGGAGGAAAGGTTGATGCCTTCCACGATGTGGTTGCTGACAGAATCTTCTAGAGGCCGGGTCCTCCCCAGGGGAAGGGGTTCTGACCCATTCAGGAGGCCAAGGGTAGGAGGTGCTGCCCCCATCAGCTCCTGGGGGAGCCGCAACGGACACCTGTGTAGACAGCACAGTTGCCCTGCTACCGGTCCGGGATTAGCCCTTCAGCTCACTAGCAGTGACTCACCTGGGGTGGGAAGTCTTACTAAGATGAAGTTGGATTTTTCCTTGTTCAGGTTTTAAAAACAAGATCTTAAAGCTTAGATTTTCCGACGAGCTGCTCAGACACAAAGTGTCTTTGGAAGTGAGCGCCAAGAGGATTGGTGTCGGGCCCTCAAGCTGCCATAGGCATTGATGTCTGCCACATGCCACACGAGTGTCTCAAGGGAGAGGCTCCCCATTTCCAGCCAGCACTGTGGGCCTCATTGGGCAGGGTCGCTGGTGTCAGGGATTGGCATCCCCCACCTCCCCAAACCCCCCGGCAGCTTCCAGGCACAGCAAAGCCTCTGTTCAAGGTGCTAGAAGCTTTTGCGTCTTCAGTGATCGGTGGTCTCGTCAGGTCCAGCACAGGCCACCATGGGGCCTCAGCCTCCTGGGCTGGTGATTCCAGAGGCCTGTGGCGACCAGGACAGGGACCCCCGGAGAGTAGTTCATCTATTGAACATGGCACTGGGTCTGGATACTAAAGACAGAAGTTAACCCCAGTTGTTCCTGAACTGTGTCGTGTGTTGTCAGCAGGGTGATGAATTGTTGCTGTTCACTCAACTGAGCTTTGAAGGTTCCTGTGGTGTAGACACGTGCTTAGAACACGAACATTGCACATTCTGTTAACATTGCATCAGTCATGTGATTGATATTTGCCTAGATGTATCATAGATAAGAATCATTAAATCTGACTTAAAATTATCTTCCTCACAGCATAGCAGAGAAAGGGCTCTCCCTGGGAGGATCCGACGGAGGGGTGAGTTGTACACAGTTTCTGCTTTAGTTTTCTTTTCACCCCTTTAACTTTCCCCTCCCTCCCAGAGGAAGGGGGAGGCACTCAATGTTCAGGACGCTTGGGTGTCCCCACCACAGGTGTGGACAGGCCCTGGGTCCCTGTGGTACCAACCACAGCCACTCAGAGGATGTGGGAGTTCCCTCTTCTCCAGGTACATCACCTGCTTCCGATCACATCTGCATTTCAGACAACTGGGCAGGGACGGGGGCGAGTGGAGGAGGTTACCAGCAGGGAGCTGATGGGAGGGCATGTCAGCAGTAGGAACCAAGTGAGGAGGGTGACAGCCCTGGAAATGGGGGACTGTGGGAAACCGGGACCAGCATGCTGGGTGGAGCCCCTCCCTCTCCCCACCAGAGGCCCCCAGACCCCATGTGGGCACTGTCATCCACTGTGGGAGACTGCAGGGGCCAATGATGTTCCCCAGAACCTGTGAATGGGACCTTATTTAGGAAAAGGGTCTTGGCAGGTGTCATTAAGTTAAGGGTCTCGAGATGAGTTCATGCTGGATTATCTGGGTGGGCCCTAAGTCTAATGACAAGTGTCCTTGTAAGAGGAAGGAGAGGGAGACTTGACACGGAGAGGAGAGGAAAAGCCATGTGATGACGGGCAGAGCTGCAGCCACAAACCCAGGGGTGCCTGGGGCCACCAGAAGCCACAAGATCCAATGAGGGACCCTTCCTTGGGGCCTCTGGAGGGAGCGCAGCTCTGCGATGCCTGGATCTCGGACTTGTAGCCTCCAGAGTGTGAGAGGATGAGTTCCTGTTGTGAGCCCTGGTTTGTGGCGGCTTGTCACAGCAGCTGCAGGACGCTGAGGCCCAGGGCAGCTCGTCCCTTCCTGGGCGGCCTGTAGGAGCCCTGTCCCATGAGTGCCTCCTGTGGGCTTGAGTTCCTGTGTGGTTTGAGTTCTCGTGTGGTTTTCTGGACGCAGATCTCCACCCAAGTGTGGAGCTGTGGGATGACCCCTTCTCTGCATAGCTGGGTGACCCCTGAATCACAGTCACCAGGTGGACCCAAACCAAGCTGCGTGTTTAGACTCCTCGGAAGATTAATTTACAGACTTTGCTGACATTTCTAATGATTTCTGTGATTATGGGCGTGACTTTATTTTTTTCTGCAGTCTTTTGAGTTCTGAAAATTAAGCTACCCCTTTTATTTCAGTTTAGTTCAGTTTAGGGGGAACTTTTATGAAAAACTGTTCGTGTGTGGACTCATTTTTACTCTTTGCTCAGCATTTACTTGGGAAGCTGTCTTGCAGCAAATCAACCAGGTTTGATCCTTTAAGTTCAGTTAATATTTTTAAAGTCCAGATTATAGTCAAACGAACGCCTAGGCTGGTCGCGGCACTGCCGGGGTCCTGCCTCGGCGTTCCAGTGAACAGTACCTGAAGTGGGGGGCGAGGTTTAAGGAAAAAAAGAGACAAAGAGACAAAGAGGGTCCGGGAGGACTGGAAGCATTCTTGGCAACCAGCCCCGAGTTTATTTTTCCTCCCCATTATATGCCTCCAGAGTACATGTAACACAGAAGGGATGAATATGCATAACCTCATTAAAAGTACATCATTAG